ATTCAGCCGCTGTTGAAACTGATCAGTTTCAGCAGTGGCTGAATCTGGACGCCAGTTCCGACTTACATACAGATTCAACTTAAGAACAAACCTACAGTCCCTATCTTGTATGTAACCTGGGGACTGCCTGTACTTACTTTCCACAGAATTTCTGGAAGCAAGTTCTATAAATGAAATATACTATGATGATGATATGGTTGTTTGAAAAGTTACTTGGTTGAATATGTGAAATAAGACCAGTCATAAAACTCAACTAAAGATTTAATAGTGTGGAACTTACAGATTTTAAAAGGCAAAATCCATATCTAGCTTATATTCAACAATTTGCAAACTGTGACCTCTTTTAGGGACATCTTATTAATCAGCATCCAGGAGCAATTATTATGGGCAGGTCTCCAAAATCTCAACAGGTCTCCAAAATCTATGACCATATTTATATTTGCTTGTACAGGCCAAATGACCCTTGTCTTACATGCACATTTGCAGGCACATCTGTTCCCATGTACAAGCAGCAAAACTATCATGTACTGAAGGATTTTGTGCAAGTAAAAGAAGGGTTATTTGGCCTCCACAGGCAAAGCTGCATGTGCACATAATTCCCCATTTTATGTGCTGGCTTAGAGATTTACAAACTGGAGCTCCCTAAAATTTTGGTGGATGAATTTTCAAGGCGTCCTTTGGGCCAATTTGTCATTGAATAGATTTACTATTCTTATTAAAATAAAAATCAAATATACCAGAAGTCCAACCATAAAAGGAACTATTTGTATTTTGTAATAAAGATGAATCACATTTATAAATGGTTTATAAAGGATTAATATTTGTTACATACATGAATATCGATAGTATTGATAAGTAATCCATTGAACTCGTAATTTATTAGACATTTATTCCAATATCGTCCATTTATTGACTATTTAGAAACTATAAGCAACTGTAATATAAAGTGTGACAGAAAACACTGCCCAGGAATTTTGTTACAAATGAAATGAAATACTCTTACCTGCCAAGATCTGTGTCAGGGTTCTTTTCCTCCTGGAACACTCAGCAATTCCTTCACTCTCTCTCAGTGGGAATTTTTTTCCATTGACTTGAACAGACTTTTAAATCAGGCCTTCTAGAAGGAAAGGATTTTCATCCATAGCTTTTCTAAAAGTGATTGGGGTTTACAGAGAGGCAATCCCTTATAAGGAAAGAAGCATTTGAGACAGAATTCAGACCTTGATGAGCAATTTGCAGTTACAATTTGCAGGTACTATTTATGACAATACTAGAAGACTTACCCAGCATTGCCTGGGTCTGGGGCTGGCCCTGCGCAATGGGAGCCATGTGGCCCAACCATCAGCTTCTCCCTGGGCTGGCTGGGGTATCTGAGGCACAGGAGTGAGGGTCAGGGGGGGCTCAGGGCAGGGGGTTTGTGTGTGTGGGGAACTGGCGTGAAGGTTTGGTGAAGAGCAGTGGCTTATGGAAGAGGATGTGGGGGTATAGCAGTAGTGGAGGGGAGGGAGGGAAGTCCTTGATCCCCTGCAGGAATGGCGTGGGAGAGGGGGAGGGAAAAGAAAGTACTTGGACCCAGCAGAAGCAGGGAGGAGCCCTAAGTTGCATAGGTTCCCCTAATTGGTAAGGACAGCCTTGTGCTGTGAGTCCTGGGGACCAGCATGGGAACCTTACCTACGCAAAGTGGCTTGGCCGGCAGTATGCAGCCAGTCACTTTCTTACTGGTGCAGCTGCCCCCCGTGGTCATTCTGCAGTATGACTATCCTTCCTAGCAGCTCCCTCCTTTTCTGTGACATGGAAAACAATCCCATTCCAAGGACATTATCCTGGCACAACCAAACCCTGACTTTGCTTTAAGTTAGATTAAGAGGAAGCTGCATGCCATATTTGGTGGTCCTAGCTCTTACTGTTTAGGAGGAGTTCTTGAACAAATGGACAGGCACATTTCTAAAATATATAGATAGATTTATCTGCAGTTTTAGAGTCCACATTACATTAATCATTTTACAGTTAATAGGTTTTTAGGAGCATTTTAATTAATTTTTACAAAGCTTATTCATAACTGATATAGTCATGAAGTGTATAGAGGATCTAAAATGGGATCATCAGCATAAATATGGCAAGGAGCTTCCAGCTGTCACACTTACATTGTTTATGTTAAAGGCAAGTGATATTGGGTTTAAAATAGATCCTTGTAGAAATCCTTCAGTAATAAAATTTGGCTGACATATAAATTTAAGAAATTGTTTATATTGGCATAGACAGCTTTGGAAAGAGTTCAGCAAATGAGTCAATACCAACCTCTTGCAGTCTATTAATGAAATCACAGTCCAAATTATTAATTATTTTAGATGAGTCAATGAAGGTACAGCACAGACTTTTCCCTTATTAAAAGGCTAAGTAATGGGAACTATCATACGAGCTAGAACAAGCTTGACCCCTTGATTAGCAGAATATAAATGTAAATAGTGAGCAAGCTGTTTATTAACTAATCTTCTGTAAATCTGGGACAAGTTAATAAGATAGATAATGATCTTTTACAACTTGGACTCCACCTCTGAACAATAGTGCAATGTAAATACACTTCAGTGCTGAAGGAGCCTTTGCTATAAAGCTGAGCCTTTAATTCACAGCAAGTTATTTCGTCTCACAGATGGTAAAATTTACCTGGTGCAAAAGGCCAGAACAAGGCCATATGCAGCATTTAAGCACCATTCAAGGTCTATTATGGGAGGATGAGGGGGTTGTGGAGTATGCTTTGGCTGTACAGAATTACTGGGACACTATAGTGGGAAAAGTCTCCATAGTCCAGCACAGAAGGTCCCGTTAGGAATCAGTCAAGAGATGGGATTCTCGCCTACATTTATGAAGATTCAGTGGCCCCAAAGCAATGTGTGTGGAGAAAAAGTGGCCCACAATTCCATGCCTCACTCTGGAACAGCAGCAGAAGGGCTGAGGAGCCTGCAGTTTCCTGTCCTGGAGTGTGGGATAGCATTCTTTCACTCACATATTCTCCCTCATGTAGCCACGCTAGGGGTATTAAATCTTTCAAGAATAAAAAATGTGATTTTTTTTTTTAATGAAAAAACACTTTCACTTTTCTGTGTCCTAGTATTATCTGAGGCATCATCCCTATAAAGTTTAGATGGTTGTGTCTATCATTCTGGCCAGGCATAATATATTATATTCACTTAGGGCATGTCTACACCAGGAAATTACTGTGAAATAACTTATTTTAAAATAGCATGTCCACGCTACAGGGAAGCCTCAAAATTAGTCTGAGGCAAGTTCCCTTAACATGGACCTGCTACCTTAACTTAGATCCCCAGGAAGCACTGGGGAGCAATTACTGTGAATGACTCTGGGGAGTAGTTATTTCAAAATAGCAGCAGTGGAGCATCCACACTACTGCTATTTCAAAATATCTATTTTGAAATAAGAGTTATTCCTTGTGGAAAGCAGGAAACACTATTTTGAAATAACAGACTTGGTAGTGTGGATGCTCCACGTTCTATTTTGAAATAAGGGGAGGTATTCTGAAATCACTCCCTAGTGTAGACCAGGACATAACGTAGTTACGTTCTACTTCGGTGGCACAGCGTACATTTAGGGTCAAGCAGCATCCCTTCACATATAAGTGATATGAATTTTACTGAGATTACAAGTGCAAGGAAAATTAAAATTCCTTGTCCTGGAGCATCTGAAATGAAAATTCCATAAACATTTGTGTAGATGGCTCAATCACTGAAACGGTCACAAGAAGTGAATATAAATGTGGTGCAAGTGCTCTTTTAAACCAAGTGACTGCATAGAGGAAATTGGAGGGATTTTTTCCACTATTGATCCAGGTCTGTGCAGCTTTTGCTCAACTTGCTTATTTAATTTGCACTTACAAATCCTGCATGAGCTTCTGTTTTTCAAAAGCGGTCAGCTTCACTATAGCCAAATCTTTCTTGAATCTAAATGAGACTTTCACAAAGAGCACAGCTTTCAGAAACAAGCTGTAAAATGACCAGTCTGACTCTTTATGTTATAGGATCAGAATGTTCTAATAAGCTCATTTAACACAATTAATTACATGTCACTCCAAATTAAAATATCCTATATGAAAGAAAGTTTCCCTTGATATGCTGGTTATTAAAAATATCTGCACTTAGATAACTATCAGAATTTTCGTATTTAAATTAATCAGAGGAAGTAAATAAACTGCAATAAATTTATTTTCTATAGACTTAATAGCCAATCATACTGTATTATGATGGATTATTATTTTATAAGATGAGTAATGTGCTTCTTATAAGAATCAACTTTAGCCAGTTATTATTTACATTTACTTTAATTTGTCAAAAAACTAACTAGTCCTCTTAAGTGTTGCAGTTCTTGCCTTATCCCAGTAGATTCTTTTAAAGGAGGGAATTTTGAGAGGCGATAATAAAACCAGGGACTCTTTTTGTTCCTGACTTCAAATCATTTTGTAAGAGTCCTGTGCTTCTCACTTTTGGCCCAAAAAGCCCCCACTTATAAAATGTTAGCCACTTAACCCTTTCATTTTGATAATTTAAAAAATCCAGGCCATGTCATTTTTTCTCAAGAACTTAAAAGTCTTTGCACCTGCTAGGACCCAAGTTCATGGATCAGTGTTTCTGCTGAAAAAGTTGATGCAGCTTAATGATGTAATCAACTTTTACAAGGGAAATCACAGATCTCTGAGCTTAGATTTTGGCAACTAAGTAAAGTAAATCATTTTCGACTACTTGATTTTCAAAATCACTTGCTTGTATGTTTTAGCTGTAATTTTAGTACATAAGAGTGCATGCACAAAAGGGTGTACACATCTGCATACTTAAATGAATACTCAAAATTTCTGTGATTGAACATGGTGAGTGATGACTAGTTAAGCCTGATTGCGTGGGTGTGGAGTTGCCTCAGTTATCTGGGCAAATCCAATAACTAACTGTATGTACAAAATGCAGATGAATTTTCTATACACAGTTGAGTGCATGCTTTTTTCAAAGTCTAGCCCATTAACTCTACGCATTAATCACTTTACTTTCATATTTTAGTGAGCACTACTTTAGCCAAACATATGTTTAAAGAGGATATGAGAAAGTAAGTCAATGTTCCTTTCAGAGATGATAAAAAGTTGCAAAGCAACACACATACTGTCAATATATATAAAACCCAGACTAGTAAAGAGTTGTACAACCTCAGAGTTACAAACTGGATTGTCTACTACACATCTTATTTGGAACCAGAAGTACCCAATCAGGGAACAGCAGAGAACTAAAAATGCAAATCCGTTATGTGTTGTATTAAATATGAACTACTAAAAAAATTGAAGAGAATTTAAAAAAAAAGACTTGACAAGGTAAGGAAACATTATGCTTGTTTCATTTACATTAAGAAAAAATGGCATTTTTCTTCTGCATCGTAAAATTTCAAAGTGGTCTTAAGTCAGTGTTCAGTTGTAAACTGTTGAAAGAGTAACCATAATGGATCGTTTGGCATTATGAACATTTCAGAGTTATGAACAATCTTCATTTCTAAGGTGTTTGTAACTCTGAGGTTCTACTCTGTATTTGTAAAGACTGCATTGAGAGAAGAGTGTCCTATTGGCATGAGCACTGGATGGGAGCTAGGAACTCATGAATTCTAATGTTAGATGTACCTTACTCTGACCTTGGACCAGTTTCTTCTAGTAAAATGGAAGTGGTCCTCACACACCTCATAGGGTATGTCTACACTACCCTCCTAGTTCGAACTAGGAGGGTAATGTAGGCATACCGCACTTGCAAATGAAGCCCAGGATTTGAATTTCCCGGGCTTCATTTGCATAAGCAGGGCGCTGCCATTTTTAAAACCCCGCTGGTTCGAACCCCGTGCAGCGCGGCTACACGGGGCACGAACTAGGTAGTTCGAACTAGGCTTCCTAGTTCGAACTACTGTTACTCCTCATTCCACGAACTACTGTCACTCCTCCCTTCCAGTTCTACTGTTCTATGATTCTATGTAAAGTGCCATATGTGTTACGTGTAATTGATCAAACTATTAATAATAGGGTTTGAATTAAATCTAATTGTTTTAGTAGTAATGTGACAGACACATAGACTGAAATTGAAAAGCTGGTTTATTCTCCTGTTCATTATTTCCCTGAAAAATGCGCTAGTCGTACCTTGTGTAACACTCATACCTGGTGTGTCTTCAGAGTTGCTGCACTGGGATTAATTTGTCCATTCTGATAAAAATGCAAAGGTCTGTTCTAAAGTAACCCACAGGACAGTTAGTTCACTTGACTGGTAAGCGTACAAGTCCTGCAAAAGCCACTGACATCAGCGTCAGATCCACAAACACAGTGGAATATAAGTTTTGAGATCTTTGTGAGAATCTCCAAGTAGAACTATCTCCTTAGTCTGCTGCAGATTAATACAGGTTGAATCTCCCTTGTCCAGCACCCTCAGAACCTGACCGGTCCCAAACGAGGGATTTGCCAGACCGGGGACGTCCCTCCCAACATGTCCCATGCTGAACTGCTTCCCCATGCTAGGCCTCCAGCCCAGCACTGCTGCTGCCTGCCTGGCTGTGGCTCCCCAGACTGGCTCCCCTAGCTGCCGTGGGAGCCAGAGCTCCATGGCTGTGGCCAGGGCTCGAGCTCCAAGCCACTGTGGGACCCCAGCTCTACAGCCGGGGCTGGAACTCCATGGCCGCTGCTTGACCCTGAGCTCCGCAGCCACTACCAACCCCTGCTACCTCCCAGCCACAGGGGGCAGAACTCTGCTGCACCGTCCACCCCCACATGTGTATGTAGTGATTGGCATCATGAGATCAAGTGCTAGCTCCTACCTGAGTCACCAGTCCCTCCCCTCCCCCTTCTCCCCACTGCACTTCTGCCACACAGGACCAGGAATGTTGCTGGACCAGAGAGTCCCAGTTAAGGGAGGTAAACCCATATAACCTGATGCTGTACATGACATGCCCGAAACAATGGATTTCACACTGCAATTTGCACTGGAACTGTGTCTAGGTATGTGTGCAGCACACAGTACAACGGGGTCCTTGTCCTGCTGCAATACAATACTGACCCCAACCCTAAGCTTATTCTACACTTAGGGATAGAGCTGGTAGATCCTTAACAGGCTGGTATTTTTTTTATAACAGGGTGCTGGAAAGTGAAGAAGGGAGGAAAGGCTATGTGGTGTACCCTACCAGCAAGAACCATAGTTCAAGTCAAAAGGGGAGAAAGGCATCACTCAAAGGCAGCGGGAGGAGGATTGACTACATGCTTTACACAGAAGAGGGTATTTACCTGGAATGGAAAGTGGTGAGTTTTCTAGTAAACTGTAACTCAAAATGTGAAGTGCTCAGGTGGCGCGCACTCAGCCCTGCAGATCTGCTCAGAGGGCTAAAGTCAAACTCGCATCTCCAAAGGAAACTCACCATTCAGACCCTCTCTTCCCCTTTCGACTCTGGGTGGTCTGTTACTACTTGGGAGTGAGAGAATGTGGCTTGGGGGGAGAGGAAGAGATGCACCAACTACTCAACTGTATAAACAACCAAAGATAACATCTGCCAAACTTTCACACGCTTGGACTCTGTTCAGGAATGTATCAGATCTCAAAAATGGGCTCAGATCAAATGGTTTTGATCCCAACATTTGACTAGTAAATACATCCCCTGTTCTATGTTAGATCATGTGTATGTAGTGACTGGCATAATGGGCTCCAAGTGCTAGCTCCTCCATGCTTTGAAGAGAGTTTGGCCATGGGCAGAGGGATGGGGGAGGGAATGAGAGATGTTGTCCTAGGGCGATCTACCGGTAGATCTCAGGGGCTCTAAGAGTAGCTCTTGAGCCCTCTCTGAACTGCGCACCTGTGCAGTACATTTACATTAGATTTCCTCATTTGAGGAGCAGCTACTCACCAAGCAACAACACAGGAGAGTAGCTGCGAGGAATGGTGGGAGGTCGGGAGGGCTGAAACACCCCAGCCAGCTGACTGTGGCTTTCAGCTGAAAGAGGCTGCCCCACGCTTTATCTGATCAGCGGCTTCTCCTCTGTGCCTGCCCACGTGAAGCGTGGTGCACCCTGGCTGAGCGCCATGGCCAGCTGGCTGGGCGGG